GAGGCCCCGTCCCCCTACCCCCCCCCCCCCCCCCCCCAACCTAAGTAGAGAGTTTTGCCAGCCAGCTTCATAGAAGTGAGGAGTATTTTAGCCAGGAAACTTTTTCAGTTTGCTCAGAAATCTTGAGCAAAAAGGGTTAGAACATGGCAGCTGCAGTCTGTGGAGAATTTGGGAAGTTCAGGCTTTTTGGTCCCAGCCAGAAACAGAATTTGAAGGCTCTGATAAAACAGTATTTCTGGCAAGAAATGAAAATTTTCTTTTTTGAATCAATGAAGTGTTTTCATACATTCTTGCAGAAAAAGAATAAGTCACTTTGATATAAAAATCAGACAAAAACCTACTGAATTTGAAACTGAATGCAAAAACTGATTTCCTCTCTGGCTTTGTGCAAAAATATTCCATAAAGGAATAAATTACATATATATTGGCGCAACATAGTCAAAATGTTTTGATACTGACATTATGCTTAATTATTTTATAAATATTTAATTACACCCAAAGTCAAGTTGCAGTAAAATATGTCAATTTTACTAAAATGAAATATTTCAACCTTATCAAAATTAATAATTTCCATACTTTTGGGGAAAGGGGAAAGAAAAAAGTCAGCAACACAGTCTTTCTTGAAGTGTTAGTTTCACTGAACCCATATTATCTGGTGAAAAAAAAAAAAAGCTATTCCACTGGGGGACATTCAGAGAACTCTGCTCTCCACACTGGATGCCTTGGTACTTAATAGTGCTTTGCCTGATTCATCTGGGTAAGGATTCCTGCTTCTTACCCATCTCTAGGTGATGCTTTTATACCTCATAATAAAATTTTAATTGAATTTTTAACTTAAAAACAGCACTGCATGTCAGAGAATCATTTTTTTGTTCAGATCTTGCAAGCAGGAATTAAAATTTCTTATCTTACTTTCAAGAAAACCCAAAACTCAACCATAAGCAGTTACAAAATTCTGCAGCCATGGTAATTGCAACAGCGTCATGCATTAGGGCCAGCAGTTGTGCTCTATAAGAGAACAGTTTTCTGTAATGCGGTAACAAAGCAGCTCATCATCCAAAGCATCTTTAGCAGTACTGCTTCAAGCAAATGGAAAAAAAGGGATCTGTCCTTTAGTTCAAGAACTCAAGTGCTTTACTTTTTAAATTTACTTCTGAAACAAGTCCTTTCTGTATTGAACAAAGACTCATCAGCAAAGGAAAAAAGACTTGAAGAAACCCTTGGCCTATCTTGAAAGTCAGAAACCCAGAAAAGTCTCCTGTTCAGGGCTTACACTAAATACTCCTCAACAGGCTGAATCCAAAATAACTCCTTTTGAAACAGTAAGTTCTCTGGGAATTAGCACATTCATCTGCAAAAGGGTAAACCCACAGTGAGACCATATTGTCACAGAATTTGGTTCTTCCAGCAGCTGGGCAAAGGGAGAGGCATAAAGAAGGCATGAGACAAATAGTGTGTTTAGGGCAACAGATTCCCTAGACAGATTTGAAACACTCAACCCTACCTCCTTTCCCCTTCAACACCGTTGAACAGGAAGAAAAGCATGTTATCCGTTCTTTGAAGCACTAGTCTTGCTCTAGTGGCCAGAGGCTTCTACATAAGCATGGCTAATAGCAACGTACTTCTTCATGAACATAAAAAGGTGCTTCGTAGACAGTTTATTTTCTTGTCTTCCAGAACAGAAGTATAGAGATTGGAAGTGAAGGCTTTCTGCAAGATGTCATCCTCTAATTACTCCAACTATCAAAACTAAGATGACTCATTAAAATTGGATGAATACAGCTGGAAGGCTATTTCCTATCTTAATTCCATCTTAATTGTGAGAGCAAATCAATAAAACTTTGGCGTCCCCTTTAATTCTGCTGCCTAGTTCTCCAAATCAATGTTATAAGAAAACTGCTCGGGAACACCGGTCATGAGTGTATTCTTACCTTGAGTGCCTGCGTGGGCTGTCTGAACAAAGAAAGCTCCCATAAAGCAGCCAGCTCCATTAAAGAGAGTTAAAAAATGCATGGAAATCCCTCTAATTCTTTCTGGCACAAGCCGGAATGAAAGTAAGGAACCTTAGAAAATAAGCAGATACAGTTATAACTTAAAAAAAAAGTAAATTATGGTAGAAGATAGATAAGTGTCTCTAATAGCGACTATCTGTATTTTACACGGAGAATGTAGTTGCTGCAGAAGGGCAATCAGAAATGTTAGCATGTACCTATTCACAAAGGATTATCTAAAATGTTTAAATGAATCTCAGTAACAAACCATTCCACATTAAACTATTAATATTTCACAAGTATGGAAAAATCTTTCACCCAGACAGTTGCTCTCACCTTTTAAAACCTCAGGCATAGCAAGGAAAGAGAGACACCACCACAGTCAGCGAACGTGAAGGCAGCAGATGCGATATTTAACTGCAAGACAGTGGGACCTCCTATGCCAGAGCTAACTCATTACGGCCACTAGTAAATACTTCCAAAATCCAGAGCTCTACCTTAACTTGGACAGTTACGCTGCTTTCACTTAAGGCTGGCCAATGCTCCTCTTCCCCAGACAGCAGCCTCCAGAGTCACTGGCTAATTTTTAAGACATTGTCCTTCACTTTCTTGCCAGAAGACTAAACCAGAAGCAGCAACAGCCTTGGCAGCGAGGGGGAGCTGTGGCATGCTGTTGTAGCATGGATGACTATAAATAATCCCAACAGTTGTAATCTAGCTAAACTAGGTTACAGTAAGTCTTTATGATAGCTGTTCTTTTTTTATAACTTTCCCTGATTATCAAAACCTCTTGTTTCCCAATTTTACACCTTGAGTCCTCATCCACACTTGTTCTCCAAGACCCAGTGTCTCCCAGACTGCTTTATTAGTTGAGTTTGAATGACCTCCAGCTTGAGAAACTTGTCAGCAGAGGATCCTATTTGGATGCTGAGTTGCCTGAAGCATCTCTGAATACAAATGAAACCTTGCAATCACCGTCTTCCACCCTTTTTAATTTGGATGCCCAAATGAGAGCTTTGGAAACATATTAAAGAAAAGGAAGAAAATACCACAGGCAGTGTTTTTTCCTCATTCACAATAGGAACCGAAAGCCTGAGGGCAGGAGAAAGCAGGTGAGCCCAGGACACCATCTGTAGATGCAACAGGACAGTCTGAAACATTGTACAGTCCACGTCCTAGCTAATTTGATTCATTAAGAGCCTAAAAAGTTTTTGGTTACTCCTCCCTTCTAAAAGCACGGGTGCAAAACATGCATCTTGGCCAAATTCAGCCTGGGTAATTGCATCCTACTTACCTAAATTACCCCTGCCGCTTCAACTGCGCGCTCCGTTCCTCGCGTCTCCCACGGCACTGCTATTAAACAGCTGCTGCATTTCACCCTGAAGACCACTGCGTTTCATCGGTGGGTGAAGCGATCCCCCATATATTCCTTCACTAACAGGGCTGTTTGCTACGAGCCTTCCCATTTCTCAGTGCTTTGAGACATCTTGGTGGGTAGACGACACTGTTGCAGCACTTCAGCGATCACTGCAAATCTGCTAAGCCTTTGGAGGGCAAAGCAGTTGGTGCGCCGGGCAGCTTGGACACTGGCAGCATGACACAGCTGCTGTGGCCAGCAGGCTGGCTTCCCACCATCAGAAATCTCCTGCACTGCAGGGGCAAGTGCCTGAAATGCCTGCTAATACTGTCCCACAGGATGGAGTTATTTTGCAGGTTTTTATGGTGGTATTTTTGGCGGGTTTGTGGTGGTTTTTGTGGTTTGGGGTTTTTACTTTGGTTTTTGTGTGGGTTTTTTTTTCCTCTTTTTCTTTTAAATCATTGGGTTTTAGAAGAGTAATTTCATATTTTAAACCAAGCTAGGGTTGCAAATTTGAGCTGTCAAAAGCCTATGAGATCTTACATTCTAACGTTGTGAAGGAGAGCAATTATTTTACCATTATGTTATTTTATCTTTTAAAGTCTACCTCAGTGCTAGGGACACATTAAATGCTGATATTATTTATTCTAAGAGATGCTTATGCCACGAAGTAGGTGATTATATAAAACTCCTATCAACAAGATAATAAAATATACTGTATAGACACAACTGTAAGTATCAGGGCTCAAATGTAGATAAAGAGTTCAATATGCCAAATTTAGCTCCTCTACCCGAGCACTTCAGAAATGAGATATCTCCTCGCTTCCCTCTGATTACAAGCGTGAACATTTCTGTCTTCAACTTAGATCACGTACTTTCAAGTCAAGTAAATTATTATAATTGAATTTGACCTTCTGCATAACAAAGGCAGTTAAAATGCCAAGAAAGGTGAAACAACTATTTAAGTGTCTAGGCTGTCATTACCATCCATGGAGATCCACTGAATGGTTCCTGAACAGCAATTCAGTTCAAACTGAAGTAGAAACCTAGAGCTCAGTTCAGGAGATGGAATGCAGATGCCCAGCGCTGCCTGAAATGCTCTAGTGCACCTTTAACCATCCGCACGGAGCCGCCCGATAAGGCACAGGACCTACGGGAGAACTATGCCTTTCTCTAGCAGCAGCTGGAGGCCACACAGGTACCGTAAAGAGCCTCCTTGCCCCACGTGCATAGCTTAGATGCTCCATCACAAACGGTGTCAGACACCTAAGTGTGGGCAAATGAATGGAGGCCTGCATCCCCACTGACTACAGTAGTAACCTACTACTTCAGGTACCTATCTTTATTTTTCTACATGCAAGTCCCAACTTCACTTAGCCCCATTTCCCTGGGTTCTTGAATCGCACCTGTAACTGCAGCTCTTAGCAAGATGCTTAATCCTATTTAAACAGGGAAGACAACTTTTCTTCCAAAAACATTTAAAAGACAATCCTTTAAAAAAATTTAAAAAAAAAAAAAAAAAAGGAAAAAAAAACGCCCCAAGATGAAGCTTTAATTCTTTTCTGAAGGCTAATGTCATCTTTCAGTCATTGGACTTCTGTTGTGTCCCAGAGTATAAGATTAAAGAGCCTTATTTTACCAGCAATATTATTCTCATGCAGAAGCATGAGAAGACTGTAAGCTAACCACCTCCTAACCTTTTTTTTTGTTAAGCTAAACAGAGAAGGTCACAGTTTTCAGTTACACTTAGCCTGTAACCTAGAAACCACATTACCTGCCTAGAAACCTGTCTCAGTTAAGTACTTGAGAGCTATCGGATGAAGAGGCATTATGAAAGTGCTAAGTATTTAAAACTGGGGAAAATTACCTTTTTAGTGACAGACCGTGACCCAAAGCTCTCTGTAGTCTTAGAGTGTAAGAATGAAGCTGAGACACTGAAGTTATTTCCTGCTTTTAAATAAAAATCTGAACATTTCTGGGGTTGTACCAGAACAATAGACACTCAACCTGTAGAATTAAATGCCTGCAGAGATCAGCCAGTCAATTACTTTACCTGTGTCTCTAAGTGAATGTTGATTTGATTATTTTTGTAATACTAACTTTTCTTTTTTAAAGTTCTGCAAGCTAAAACACTAGTAAGGACTCTGCATGCTCCTCAGAAGAAAATAAGCCTCAGGAATGTCAGCGTAGATGTGGAAAGGTAAATTATGGAAGGGAGAGAAGGTTCAGACTCACAATCAAGAGTGCGTCTACATAATTCATGGACAGAGGTGTGCCTGTACTCTGCAAAGAGAAGTGTTTATCTCTGGTTCCATGCCACAAGCTAAGGCATGACGCTCTGTGCAGGCATGTTCGCGTGACTCCCAGTTGGAGCACAAAGATCTGGCATCTGCCTACAATATTCTCCAGGTTAGACTGCCAGTTGAATTGTGTTACCTGCCTGCATATGCTCTGTGCCACTGAAAAACACGTAATAATTCTATTAGTTGGGTCCACACATGACAAGGGTTAAGATAAATTGCTTCATCTTGCTTTGACTTTGGCCTCAAAAGTGCTCATAGACCGTAGCCACAGCTCAGCTGTCATGTGCATACTTGTTCTGTCTCAAGAAAATCATCACAGAAGAGTTCAGGTCAGCAGGGTCCTCAGGAGCTCATCCAGTCCAGCCCCAGCCTGAAGCAGGTTCAGCTTCAAGACCAGCCACACATCTGAGCCCCAAGTTCCACCACTGTGATCGTCCCCCCCACCGAAGGGTGGGTTACGCACCCCAGGGACCCGACTGGGCTGTGTTACCTTCCAGTTAATTTGGAACAACATCACTGCTCACTCTGAGTTACAGCCAGCAAGACAAATTATGCTGCTCTGAAGCAGGTAAAGCACAGATCTGCTCATTAAGCCCGTGGAAGAGAGCCAGGGATAAAATATCAGATGACAGTAATTATTTTTAGGGAGCTGATATCATTCTCTGGGAATCAGGACACTCTTGCTTTAGCCTATTGGATTTTACTTACAGGAGGGAGTTACCAAGGCTTCAGCTACTCCAAGTAGGATGTACTGAGGAGCTAAGTGGAAGCAAGGCATGGAGGAGACCAGGAGAACCTCCTCGGAAAGCGTCTGCTCCACCTGAGGGAAATGCTTTCGGTGTATTTCAGAGAAGCCAGCAACCATCACGGAAAGTGCAGCAGATAACTGACCTACAACTGGGTAAAGAGCACAGAGAGCATTCATCAAGGCTGTAGTTACAGGATCATCAGGTATTTAGAATGAAGTCCTAGTAGATGCGAAAGAAGCCCCCCCTTACTCCCCCCATACATCCCCTCTGGACATATAAACATGAGTAAAGAGTGCTACACCACAAACCTAACGCTAAATATATGGCAAAGGGACACCAGCTCAGCACAGAAAGAATTTAGGGATGCAGAATAACTGAGAGAGGAAAAACTTTGCTGAAGAGCAAAGTCACAAAGAAGAACTTTTCTTGAAGGTTAGGGGAGGTAAGTATGGAAGAGAGAAAGAAAAGGCAGCAGCCCTTCCAGATATCACAAGAAACTGGGTAGGAACAAGACTACCACGTAGGGGAAAATTCTCCTATTCAAGCAACAAGAAGTTTCTCAAATATACACACACACCATATGCTTTATCCATTTGTCTTCTATACAAAAAGAAGTAGTGCGGGCAATAAAGTATAGCATTGTTAAGGCTGTAGGCCATAGTATACGGGAGAGAAAGATCAGCAGTGCATATCACACCTCAGGAGATCAAACTTTCCTACATTTTCCCCTTTTCTTCCACTATAGAGTTCCCCTGAACTAGTTTTGAAAGTTTGTTGGATACGGCATTTTCTGGACTGTTTAACTTTTTCGGATGAGATGAGCTGCATTATTGGAAGGGATAACCTCCAGCTTTCTAAGCATTTACACATAAGCCATGGGACTGCAGTTGCCTCCTGCCTTCTTCAGCTGTCCTGAAGAAGCATCACCGCATGATCCATAACACAGGGGATGCACAACACGTTTCAGTATATTACCAACACGCAATGCGTGGAGTCTTACCACCTGCCCCAGCGGTGAGGCACAAGTGCACGCGCTGCACCAGCACACAGGGCAGGAAAAAACACCCCTTGCCTCATAATGCAAGATAAAAGCTTCTAAAAAACTCAGATGTGTTTTAAATACCGCACACTTCACCACACATTGCAGAGAGGATACTATTTAAATGTATTATTTTATATTTCTTGATGTGGACCATACGGAATGGCTGTAGCCTCTCAGAAAACAAGAAACACAAAGAAAGCAAAATTTTCAAGTAAGTTTCCTGAACTTGAAACATTTACACTTCTGATGTTTTGAGCTCCCATTGATTTTGACAAAGTTTGTGGTTCCTCAGCATTTCTAAGCTGTAACGTAAGTAAAGGTGTGAGAATTTGGTTTCTTTTGCCAGCTTTGGCTCACATACCTGGACTGTGTTTTTCCAGTTGTCTTACAAAGCCTCATCTCACTTCATGACTGGAAATTGTTACACTTACTAGATGTGATATCAACAGTCAAAGACTTCTGTTTCATAATACATTTATAACACACATAAAGTTTTTCTCTTTGGGTGTCAGCACAGAAGAGGCAGAAAATTCACGTAGCGAAGTGGCCTTAGCCTTGTTCTGTTTGCGCACGCATTGTGCTGCTTCTGGTTTTGCATGCGGCTGTGTTTAGTGTCTCAGGAGCAAACTCTCACACCCTTCCACCAGCACAGTTTTCCTGCATTTTCACAACTTGAAATGTCCTCCCCACCTGCCTAACCTGAGGCTTGGAAGCCGTTTTGCTGTTAAGGCCATTCTAGTGCTTAATAAGAACATCAGTGAATTATTGCTTGAAAATTGATCACGGGAGGGAATTCAACAGCAGTTTCTAGCCAATGCACCTTATCAAGGCCAGGTATAAAGCCCTCAAGGAGCTTCTTGTAATCTACCAACGCAAGATTTCTCCTGGTGAAAAATTACGTTAGTATTAAAGAAACCTCAAGCAGTTCAATATTACTACACAGTGCTATATTTTAAGCATTTTCCTTACTAAAAGCCAAAACATTTCAGAAAAAGTAACCTCTGAATGCCCAACAATGGTAATATTTCTTTTAAGACATTATGTGGCAGAGGAAGAAACTGAAAGCCTTGGAAACCTGGTTTTCCTCCCACCTCTTCTCCCTGTAGTCCTCTAAAACAAGCAGTTTGGAATGACCATCTGACAGTTTGGTTTTACAGGAGAACAGGCTGGTTTAGGAACACCTGGGACTGATTCTAGGACGAGGTTGTTTATATTATCTAGAGACTAAGGTTGTATTGGACCTTTGTGATTTACCCAACCTCATCTTCCGAGTAAAACAGTTCCAAAAGCTTTCCTGAAACTAATACGTGTTCAGAATAGAACATCTTTTAGGGAGAAATGGTCATCATCAACTCCTAAATCCCTGACATAGACATCAGACTAGAGGCTTGATTTTGTGTACTGTATGGAGAGCTATTCACCACATCACTCTTGGATGGAGTAAATCCATGACTAATAAGACATTTCAGTATAATCAGGCATTAAGAACATTAGAGCAAGAACTTCTATGGCTCAGGTACTTCAGCTAGAGCCTCTTGCCTGTAGCTGATGGACAACTACCCATCAGACACACACATTAAGTTCTCTGCTGAATGTTCTATACTACTGATTAAATCAAGTAGCATAAAATATATTAAAAAAACCAAAGCAACTATGAAACTGGGAAAACCTCTAAGTTTACCAAATACTCATGTTTTTCATAAGGAGGTCCAGATATTCAATATATTTGGGACACAATCTAAATTCACTTTAAGATTTTAATGTTTTTTAGATCATACCTAATTTATTAATAAATCAACAACTACAGAGAAAGGAACATAGATTAGAGTTTTCATGTAGATCCTTTTCACAGAGCAATTGGATATTTCAGTTCTATATTGTCTGTATGGTTTGTCCTCAAAATCTGTTATGCTTAACATACTGAAAATTTCCAGAAGACTATTTAAATTTCTTCCTCTTTCAAGACTTGAATTAAAATATAGTTATAGGCTGGCTTAACACCAACAGCCTATTTATACTTCTAATTTTGTTCCTGAAAATAACTGTGAACCTAATTAACTGTTGGCAAAAATATCGGCACTTAGAGGTCTACCATATTTGCAGGTGCAGTCATAGACTTGGATATCTAAAGCCATCACCTGTACTCACAGGTATTTTTGTGCCTCGGGTAATTTATCACCTCTAACAGGCGGCTATTTTAATAAATGAAGCTATTAAGAATAAACCACTGCATATATTCTACTGCTGCTCAACATAACAGGATAGAACATTAATACTAACTTGAAATTTCCATGGTTTTAAGGAAAATTGTTATCTGAATGTGCTTTTTGTGTTTTAATGCAGATGTTATTTTAAAAACTAGGGTAATTGCAACCTGCTGCGTTATATGTGTCTGGTTTGTATAAAACTTAATAACACTCTTAATTAGGCTAATTTAGTCAGATTAATACCTCTGTGTGTGTCAGTACTCACTGTGCTGCCTGCCACGGGGCACTGAATTAATAGTAGCACACTGAGAAAATAGTCATTTATAAATATTTTTTTTCTGAGGTTCGTAATGCAGGCTGGAAGATTAAAAAAATGTAGGAAGTTTAATGAGAGTATCTGTGAAAGGGAACAGTTTTAAGTGAATCCAGAATGCAAGCTGCTTTTCTGGTGGTACTAGATGTAGCTGATATCAGAAGAGGTTGGCAGAGGACCCCTCCAGATCCTGGAACATAAGAGGTTTTGGGGTAGGGGATAATAGGGAAAAATAAAAAAAAAAAAAAAAAAATAACATCAGTGTCAACAGAAGGTGGCCCAATCCTACTTAAGCCATCATTACTTCTAGGCTATGAATTTCTCTGAAATTAGTGTCAATTTGCAACCCTGAGCTTATTACGCTCACTGTTGCAAACGTTGGGACTCACAACAGAGAAGACTTCTTTGTACCACTTCTATGAGAAAGAGATAATACTTCACCTCTGGAGATCCCTCTTTGCTTTACTTTAAGTGAGTGTACAATAAGGTATGTTTCAGTTTAGTATTTTAATAAATAAAATTACTAAACACCTGGACATTTATCCCATACTAGATATTCCAATGAAAGTGATATTGCTAGAGAGGAAAGCTGTACCTCTCCAAGTAACCTTCCATCTGTGTTCAGCCTGCTCAACGGGACCAGCAGTCCAGTGATAGCCACCCTTTTGTTTTACATAGTTGTCTGCATGTTTTCTTTTGTTTGCCAGTTGTAAAAACATCTATTGCAGACACAGAACTAGACTAGATACTTGTATTTCACTTGTGATGCAATTGCATAGTCTCGAATAAATGGTGCTAGTGATAACACAGCTTCCCTCCTATGTGCTGGAGTCCTAATGTCGACGCAGTTATAGCATAAAAGTATCAGAAAAAAAGAAAGCCTTTGTTCATAACTTAGTTATTTAAATCCAAATTCACCATTTTGAGCAACAAATGTTTCTCCAGTATCAGAAAGCAACTAACTGAAGGACTCTCCCATCCCCAAAATAGACTTTCAAAGTAAATTAACTTTCCAAAAATTAACAGATTAAAAAAAAAATATAGAAGATAACCAAGGCAGAGTAAGCCTCAGGCCTAAATGGTTACTACCGTTCCTCTCACCAATTCCTTAGGATGACTCCTAACTATTTGTGAGTATGTCTCAAAATTTTTTATTCATCAGAAGAGTCTCAGACTCTGTCCTACACAAAAGCTCTGCATTTTTTCTTGATATCCAGTATCTTTTTTCAGGACTGTCTTTTCAACAATTCCTTTGAAACATATTCACCTCGAGCGTCTTCCCAAAACAAGTCCATCTTAACATTTATAGTCAGAAATAGTTGTACAGGATCATCTGTCAGCTACTGAAAAATCTCTTTCAAAACCTGAATACATATTAAAACTGTATAAACACATGTATTTTATACATACCAATGTAAATTGTTGCATAATGTCCACTGCTCTTGGAACTAAACAGGCAGGAATTAATGCATTCCAAAATAGGAACAAGAATCAGTAGTGGCACGATGCTTATCACATTCATTGCTGCAACTGGCAAGACAAATCCACTGAAATGCAAGTTGGAATTCATGGTTTGGAGATAATATCCTGAAGGAATCTGGATTGAAGAACAAAACCCCACTCCATCAGTATACTGGGTACCATGCATGGATAAGGTTTTTACTATAATTGGAAACTTCTCCAATTCTTTTCCTTCTGAAGAAGTCACAGTAAATCAAATACCTGCTGGCCAAACGAAATGGCCATTCACGACAAAAGCCTTTCAGATAGTGACATTCTCGTTCTCTGCCAGAATGTAACATTTTCCTTCTATTTCATCTGCTCCCGAGTTTAACAAATCCAAGCATCAGTCCATGAGCTTATTTGATCATCCCTAGTTAGAGCTATCAGCCAATATACCAACTGGTTCTGTCTGATACATTAGTCACTTCTCACAGGCAGTTTTTAACAGAAGAGAATTTTAGAATAGCAAGATGCAGAGTTATTTCAAATTTCTGATTGCGTGCTCAAGGTGGGAGTAATTTTTCCGACGTCACATGGCTTTAAAAGCCACAGTGAATGAAGATTTGGCCACAGTCTTACAACTAGCTTAATCTAACTGACAGCCATAGCAGCTATATAGAGGACTTTTTACTTCTGGGAATTGAAAACAGAACAAATAACCAGAAGAGGAACCAACCAGTAGCACTCATAGTATGAAGTTAAGTAGTATGTAGCACTCGCAGTATGAAGTTATGTAGATTTGTATGAGTGTCTCTCACTTCAAAAGCAAATAATTCCTCCTGCTTATCTGAGGCTCTACAGAAGATCTGCTGAGTTTAGTTAACAGAAAGAAAAAAAATCACAATGGCTTTGACCAACAGATTTTTCAGTTTGTTTTTTTTTAAGGAAGATTGATTAACTAAGCATTCGAATTTCATGTGCAGCAGGGAGTTATAATCCACTCCATTTTACAGACTGATGGGAAAAAGAAAGAGAGGTAATGAGCAATTCACACACTACAGTCATGACAGAGCTGGATGTAGAACTGTTTTCTTTATTTCTGTTTTTAGAGTAGTTCTGGATTCCCACAGCATTCCACATGGCTCTTCAACGTGGCTGTTAATGCCAAATACAGGTAGAATGTCTGAAAATTAATCTGTAGTTAGTAACTGAGATCATGTAGGGTTTCTCATCAATGTGTAACAGAACAAGTTCTTCCCTTGGAAAGAAAGGGCATTGTTTGTCTGTAAGTGGCGTTTCTTTGATCAAACAGTGCACGTACAGAATCATGTTAACATTCAACCTAAGCTTAGAGACAGAATATCTTGCCCATCTACACTATCCGCTTATTCAAAGACAAATTCTCCTTCTTGAAGGAACAAAAGAAAGTTGTCCTTAGGTGACATGTGACCATATCTGGAAAAAAGGAGTTATTGTACTTCATCCAGGAGTAGCACCGAAGACCACCAGAGATCTCCGCAAAGGAGGAAGACATGCGCAGAAGGGTCTGAAAAGGAGCCAAGAAGAATGACACCACATAGCTGCACAACTTACGTAGATCAACATTTATATGCATTAGAAAAGTAGAATATGCATTAATTTAATGTCTAAATGTAACAAAAAGATCGGCTGTGAGTGTGCTTGATTTGTGGAAAGTCCACAGAGCACCCAGGCCTGAATAGAACAATCTCTCTCCTGAGTGTGTGAAAATTGGCTTATTGCACACCAGGTAAAAGAATCCACTTTTCGGACAACAAATGGTTATAATCAACCCTACTCAGTAAGATCGTGTTCAGCGCTGAAGAATTATTCAAATGCTAGCTCCTAATAAAAATATTTTTCAGCTATTCCACCTGCAAAAGCTGTAAGTTGTAAAAGGGTGAACAAATGGCAACAGAACTATGAAAGATCAGAACTGAGCCAAATTTTGTTGGCTCCTTCTTTCCACCGCCTATTGCAAATCAGAGTTGACTACTTAATAGGAATCAAAATATCATCAACATGAATCATAGGCACTGAAATCTGTTAACCTAATAATATGGAGAAAATACTACTAATCTTTACAAAAAACATACTGATCTATCACCTAGTCTAAGAAGGAGCCTTAAACTCATTGGAAATTCTGCCAAAGGAATAAAAGTCTTGTCTTTTGGCAGTGCAAATACTTCTATCTTTTCTAGATATATACCTGATTATTACAACCCTGATTAATGATGTCTGGTTCATTTCCATCTGGTCACTAATGCGTAGCCTCACCCATATGTGCACGTTTGTTGGTTTGGGATTTTTTTTTTTTTCATTTGCTTGGGATTTTTTGTGCTTTGCTGGGGAGGGGGAGGTAGGAAACAGGAGAAAGAAACAGGCAGATGGATGAGAATGTAGGATGATGGCAAGAGGAGTATATGTTACATATTTGTAAGAATTTCCTTAAGCAGCCTTTTAACACCAATAAGTGAAAATGAATTTCTGAGCCAGCTCATAAATTTGCTATTCCAGTTGCCAAAAGGTAAGCTACCTCAAACTGCTGCTTAGCCAGGATAATCCAGGCAGAAATGAATCTGAAGGAATCATGTCAGCTTAAAGAGTTGCTTGACACATTTACATTTATATACCATGCAGGCACTCCGAAGTGGAAGGACACACACACAGCCTGACAGAGGGGCTGTGAAAGGACTGCTGCTTTCCACACATGGAAACCCACCCATTCCCAGTGTAGGTACACCGGCCACATAATGCAGATAAAACAGCAGAAGAAATATGCAACATAATGTGCAAAAGAGCAAATAAAGGTTTTCCACCTCTCCCAAAAAGTGAGTGAACATTTACAAAATTGGAAAATTACATTTTTTCAGAAGAATGCTGAGCCTGAGTCTCTGATAACTGTAACATGGCAGCGTGAGGTGCACAGGACTCTAGCTCTAGATGTCCTACTACCCAATAAGGGTTCAGAGAAATTGGTAGCAAGCAGTCACATAAGCTCCTTAATGAGTCTTGACCAAGTCAGTTTTACTTATTTGGTGAGATAAGAGAATATAGCAAGGTATATTCTCAGGTAATTATAACTACTCCTCAAGGTTGTTTTGCTGATAAAGCAAGTTAAGAAAAAAAGCCACGCCTAGAGCCATAGTAATAAGCAAATGTCATAGCATATTTCAAGATTTTTGTTTAAAAGCTGTGTACCCACCTGCATAATACATGTTCTGTATAGAATTTGGAAAGCAAAGAATGGGAAGAGCCTGGCAAGCGACTTCGTGCTTTCCACCTGAGTCTCACTGTACTGACCGCCGTAGTTTTCCTTGGCATGATCCAGCCAGTTTGTCACGCCTCCGCTAAAGTAGCGGTATCGCACGCAGCACGTTCTCAGTGCACTAGCAATTACCCCAAAAGTCGTCAGCAGGGAACTATCTGCAAACAGAGACATTAGACATTGGTGTGATTTTACTTGCTGCCAAAATAAACAAGGCAAAGCACTTTGGGAGGGAAAACACAACCTGATATATTCATCTTTCTGTCTTTTTGGGGAGGGGAAAGGCAGTAATGTTCTGCATTTGTTCCAAAACATTCTTTTTTGGAAGCCAGTTGGTTCACAACCTAACTGTTATAAAAGCAATCCAGCCCCACATCCACAGAGAAAAGTGCCTTTTGCTACCAGTTATTTAACACACCACAACAATTTGTTGCTGTGGTTGAGCGGGTAAAGCATTAACTTTCCTTTGCTTTTGCTTTCTATTGATTGAATGAGGTGAGTTTTCAATTCAAGACAGTACTGAAATATTGCATATCTACTGAAGTCCAGCAGCAAGGGAAGGGTAGTAGTAAAGTGAGAAGGAAAGAGAGCTCAAAAGAGGGCTGATGAGACAGGAGAATTTTCATGGCTGCATTTCAAAGCCAGAAATATTATCTCAGGACTTCCAAGTAGCATGCTGTGGCAGAGGAGAAGTTTCCAACCTAGTATTTGGCATATGAAAACATGCTCACTGGTTCCTGGATTGAGGAAGTGCTAACTTGTTCTCAGACTCAGAGGAAATGGGATCAAAATGAGGACAAAACTGTTAGCTTCAGTCTGGGGAATGCAGATTCATTTACCTCTGGTAAGTTGCCACCCATGCAAAGAGGGGTTATAGCACTTCTCTGCTTTTCTTGAGAGTGTTAAGGCACTATGATAATTTGGGTATCTATAAATAAATACTTTCCAAAAACTAAGGTGAACTAAGACTGCAGAGGGAAAACGGATCCCTGCTACAGAGAGAGGTGATTCTGCCCCTCTACTCTGCTCTGGTGAGACCTCACCTGGAGTCCTGCGTCCAGCTCTGGAGCCCTCAGCACAAGAAGGACATGGAACTGTTGGAGCGGGTCCAAAGAAGGGCTACAAAAATGATCCGAGGGCTGGAGCACCTCTCCTATGAGGACAGGCTGAGAGAGTTGGGCTTGTTCAGCCTGGAGAAGAGAAGGCTGCGGGGAGACCTGATTGCAGCCTTTCAGTACTTAAAGGGAGCCTATAGGAAAGATGGGGACAATCTTTTTAGTAGAGACAGCAGTGACAGGACGAGGGGTAATGGTTTTAAACTAAAACAGGGTAGGTTTAGGCTAGATATAAGGAAGAAAGTCTTTACAATGAGGGTGGTGAAACACTGGAACGGGTTGCCCAGAGAGGTAGTGGAGGCCCCATCACTGGAAACATTCAAGACCAGGTTGGACAGGGCTCTGAGCAACCTGATCTAGTTAGTGGTGTCCCTGCTCGCTGCGGGGGGTTGGACTAGATGACCTCTAGGGGTCCCTTCTAAACCAAAACTTTCTATGATTCTATACCTACGGTATAGAAATTATTTTCTTGAAATTTCCACTGACACCTGTTGGAAGCACTTGCTCTAGAGTACTAAGACAGGGCATTTTAGCTAACCAGGATTTAAAACTCACTGACTGTTCAGCGCTAACCTGTAGACTGTTGAAACTACTAAATAAAATCTGAAATAGCATATCAAAGCCTGAACAGAGAGCTAGTATAGTTTTTATTGTTCTGTATGACTGTACTAGGCAACTATTCTTAGCACTCATTGTAAGTTATCTTTAAGTTCAGGATCTAGACTATTTCAAGACTGAATCTGAAGACTAAAAGAAAAATGAGTGACCTGACTAAGAAGCTAACCTGAAAACAAGCAGGACTTGGGGCTCTTGTCATGGCAGAGTTATATTCAGAACTAAAAAAAGTTGCACAAAAGTCAGTATCAGCTCAACTCATTGACAGAGCTAGTAATTACACGTTTTAGGTCAGAGAAGTGATAATCTTTTGCTTTGCCCTACGCTAGAGATTGGCCATTCACAAAGGAATGAAAAGCAGTAATATCGTTTGAGCCCAGTCTGTCAAATAAGAAGATGCACAGAGTGCCCCAAGACAAGACCAGCAGACAGCTCAAAGCAACAACGTGGCTGTGTGCTGGTTTATCTGACCTAGTCTCAAAGATTTTCATGGCTATCTCCTTCCCTTTGGAATGGAAGATGTTGGTCAGACTCTTCTTTTCTACTCTCACTGAAAAAAAGACTAAAATAGACAACAAATCCTGACATTTCCCTGCCTTTCCTAATGGAACAGCTGAGGCCCTCATTAATGTAATTTTAGTAAACTCCTAGGAAACATTTTGTAGCAGGCAAAACAGACAAATACATTATTTAGCTGTGTTTCTCAGCACAGAATTCCAGTAGATTTTAAGATCTAGTAAGCCAGGAAGACAAAGCTGCTTGAAGTTGTAGTTCAAAAAGCAACTCGAATGATACATAGATTTAATTGATATCAAGAGGATTTTGCCAATGATGTAGTTGGAATAAGTATCTCATCCCTTCTTTAAAAAAAAAAAAAAAAAAAGAAAAAAGAAGTAAACCCCCGCAGAATCCCATAGTGGTGAATTGTTCAGATTATAAATCTGATCAGCTAGTAAGAGACATGTTCAAAAGCATAAATATTTGTATCAGTGCATTTTGCATGGATCAACATCATGCACTCTATACTTGTATTTCTAATGTTTTCTTAAAAAAAAAAATCTACCTGTATAGATACTTAATTGTAATTTTCAGAAAGTGATTTTCCTTCTCCTTTATACTTCAGCCCTTGGCTCTAATGTTCTGGTACTTTGACCTTGATCTAATCATGAATATCTATGCTACTTAATTACAATAAAAAGCCTACATTGCACCCTAGATGGTAGATATACTTTTTTCCTCATCTCTGGTCACCTGCCTGTCCTCAAAATTATAGCAGTGGGAAGAAATGCAAATGAAGTCCATGCTTGACAGCTAAACATAATTGAATGCATGATCCACATTTGAAGAGTTACCTTAAAATAAAAAAGGCAGCATATAAAAAAATCATTTAAGGTCACCTATGGATTTGAATTACAGTTCTGAAGAATTTCCAATTTCTTCATCTCACTGGAAGGTACAAAGAATATTATATTTTATTTTGACTAAGGAGATAAAAAACTTTGCAGATATTAGTGTAGAGATTGGCATTGTGAGAAGACCTGGAAAATACAAGATAAATCAAATAACACTCACAGGGAAAAACACCTGATACAAAAAAAAAAAAATATTCTGCTGGTTTTCTTCATGGCCAAGATAAATACAAATTTGTGTTATTCCACTTAATAGAATTAAACTAGTTAGATGATAAACTACAGATTTAGTCCATATGAAACAGTCCAGCTCAGGAGTGGATACTAAAGAATCTTTCTGCTACCTGGGTTGCAAAACCTATAGTGAGCCCCAGCAAGCCAGACAGCCACCATTCTCTCCTTAAGAAGCTAGCTAATTTGATGCTAGTCTTTGCAGACCTCGGTTGCACATTATCGTGATGTTTTTGGGGTGTTGTGGAGGGGGTGCATTTCTTTCCATTTTCTTTTCCCAAGCACTTGATTTAAGCATTCATTCCCTCACTGCTGATATATTTTTGCTTGGATTATATTTATAATAATAAGACTGCAACAACAACTTGCTTTCGGTTTCTGGATTCTGTTGGAAAAAGAATAGCAAGGTTTGGGCACTGACAGTCTCATTCAAGTCACCTAGGGTCCACTTACATTTCTGTGCTTGGTCAGTGGAGAGGGATAGTTGCCATCAAAGGATTTTGAAGAGCTCAAGTACTATACTTGTGAGGCCACAGAAGTGTAAGAACTTTTTAAAAATATCTCCACAGTCTGCACAGGAACTATTTAGAACTGTTCAGTATTTCTAGTTATTTCAAATGTGTAAAACTACTTGATGTTGTATAAGCAAGCGCGTCAAAATAACAATAAGCATCAGACATTCTGCAAGATAAGGGCATTATAGAACAACTTTGCTACTAGGTGCATGTGCGTGTTTAACTGACTAACCACACTGCTTGGCTGCTCAGGTACAAGTTTAGGAGAAGCAATGGAGTACGCTTAATGTGGAAAATACAAGTGCGCCTTGTGCCTTAGCATAGGCATAAACTCTGCTTCAACTGACCAAAACACATTTGGCATAGGTTGAACAAACACGGCAAAATAAAGTCCCCCAGCAGCATGCACACAATAACTCTTCCTGCAGAGGCAAATGCTTTGACATGTTTTGACATGACAGAAAATGTACATAAGTTTACCAGTGACTGCTTTCCACCTTTTCAGTCTATCCAGAATCTCCAGGTCTATCTTTACAGAGGATGGATGTTGTCTCTCATGCTCGGACCTTGTAGAGTTACCCAAGTACCTCCAACCAAACAGGGTGTTGTTGTGGAAGAACTACTTTAGATATGCAAGTTGATCACCTCTGTGAATATAATCTCTAAAGATATTTCCTAAGATATAGTTGCCTCTTACCTGTTTTGGGTTTGTAAATCATTTCACCACGCAGCATGTGAATTGTGATCATTGCCATAAGGATGGACACAAACGGGATAAGAAAACCAAGGTTCCTGGCCACAGACTGCTGGATATAAGAAATGCTGACAAAGACAACTGCTGAATTTAAGTTAATCAGCCAATAAAACCTAGCACACACAAACAAGAGAGAGAAGAGTGGAGAGGCTGAATAATAGAAGGTTTTACAGAAGATTAAAACATTAAAGGCATGGCAAGTACAGCAAGCATGGACAACATCAGTACCATGCACACATTGACACAGCAATTAGCATCAAATTTCACTTAGATGTCTCAGTTCTGAGAGGTGTATGATTAAAGTAACCGTACTAAGGCAGTAGAGCTGAACAAATTATCAGTATAGTACTGGAAATATTCTTGTGCTTCAGACTAATTAAATACATCAGCATTTACCATTTACACATTTAATATCTGATAATGAAAGTTTTGTGTATGCAATATCAGCAAATCACATACTTCAGGCTTAAGAAAGAAATGTCTTAATGCCACCATCCCTTCTTTAAGAAATATCAGAATCTGATTTATCAGAAGGTATGGCTTTTCCATTAGTTGCAAGACCCAGCTTGAATTCTTGTTGGCTTCTGGAAATATCATAAGGAAGTTCCCCAAAATAATTTGCTCCAAGACTGCCTTTGGCAGTAGAGGTGCTTCCCAAGTAAGCGCTGAGCCCTCCTATGCACACAAGATATTGGAATGAAAATCACATACTCCTGGAAGCAGATGGCATATCACTAGTGATAGGCTTACCGCAGTTTGGAAGCCCTAAGAACAGCACATTAAATATGCTTTAAGGAATTACAAGGATAGCAAAAAGCAACCCAAAAAATGAAAAAATGCCAAAACAAAGCATTTCCCTGATAGGTTGAAAAAGGATAGCTACTAATTTTATTTATTCTAGCAGATAAATTTATATCTGTACAGTTAGGACTGTATTGTCGCCAGACTTTTTTCACTGGATTCTGACTCCTTACATAAGATCTTACATTGCTAGTTCTTATAACACCCAGCTTTTCTGAGAATTAGTTAACTGTACAAGTATTCATGAAAGTGAAACATAAAACATACTGCTTAATCTTTTATGGCATCACTCTTCTCACAACATGACTGACCAATTTTTACCCCATTGTTCATAATTATACTTGTTTCAGTTATAACCCCTCTAACTCCTTTTAAATTCTGAGGTGCTCCACTTACACTATTCTTCAGGTAATTTGTGTTGTCTTTTTGTTTTCAGCAGAGTTTTAACCAAGGTTTCACTTAAAACACAACTACCACACAAAACAAGGGTTTGAGGCTACAGAACAGACACAAATATTCTGCATCTCAGTGTAGAGAGATTGGATTTAGGGAGGATCTGCTTTGGTGAAGTCACAGTTTCCAAAATACTAACTGTTGAGGTCAGTATGATACTTCAAATGAAGAGCCAGAGTCAGTCATTCAGCAGTTTCTGCTTCAGATTTGACTCTGGCTTACAGACCTAGCCTTTGAAATGTTAAGGTGAGCATTTTAAGTTTAGTTAAACTTTCAAGTTCAAAATTGGCTCTAAAGACAGAAACGGTATTTTAAACAAAGAAGAAGGATCAATAATGTAGTAGTACCACCTCAATATATCATAGATTACATTTTTTAAGCAACTGCAAGAGGAGATTCCTTCACCTTTGCTGTAACCTTAGTGAAATGGTTTCATTCAAAGGTGAAATATGCATTGATACATAGGTACATAGCTTAACACATGTTGCTTGAGGAAGCAAAGCCTGCTTTCTTGTCTTATGTCACTTCTACCTCATGTATGCCACTGGACTTGAATAATTACTTCTCCTAATTATTCTCCTAATACTAATACTTCTCCTAATATTCTAGAAGGTCTAGAAATACCTTCTCAACATCAAAAAAAAAAAATTTTAAAATGTTGTAGAAGACCAGTTACTCCTTAACAACCCAACTCACAAGCTTTCCAGCTTGATCACTCCTCAGCCCCAAATGAGCAGGTAGGGCACAAGCGAGGTATCAGCCTACTATTGCAGTAATCTGTGTCAGCAATCAAATCAAAGCAAAATGTTTTGAGCTGAAAATCCTATGAGAAGGATTGCAAGTCTCTCTTGACACCTAGAAGACTTCCGTAACCTCCTTCATTCATTTAAAATGACTTCTAGGTGGCCTGACGTACTTGCCAAAACAAACCACAGTCATATTGCAGCTTACAGTACTGAAATGCCTGCTGCACTCCTTTCACTTGTTCTGACATTGCCCATTACATCGCATCTAGCTAGTGCCAAGAAAGCAAAACCTTTATCATGTCAGAAGTATGGGCCTTGGTAATGCTGCTCAGGTCTGCTCAGTTACAAAGACCACACTCCCTCACCCTGTAAGGGATGGGAAATGACCATGGGGCTGTGCAGCAGTAGGCATGGGAACACGCTCATGCAGCTTCCCTCACAGGACCCAGGGCAAGTGACAGAAGAAAAATCACGTACTCCACCAGGGTAAACTCAGTGCTGCCAAGAGCCACACAGCAGCAGCTCTCCTGGAACCAACAAGGACATGCTGAAGTCACACCAAAACACGTCCAATGTTCCAAACCAATTACTGCTTCCTGTAAGTGATTTACATTTTCAGGAGACAATACTCATCAGAATCACAGACTTTTCCCGTCCACTGAAAGCAGTCTCTAGGCACTTTGGAATTATGTTACTCTGTGATGATGGTATAGTTGGAGATATTTTGTACATGTTGACCCCTGTTCAACTAAAGCTTTTAAAAAAATACAGTTATGCAACCGGGTCAACTAGAACTTGTGTAAAAGCTTTGAAATAATTCCTAACCAGTAATTTTAAATTTAGAAGTTTCAGCAACTGTTTTCCAAACTTTCTAAAGAAGTGTGCCTGAGCCACCTGAAGTCCTGACACTCTTCATGACTCTACATCTGTTTCACTGGAAGTAGGAACCTCCACAGAAAACCCTTGAGAACAGGAGAGTGCTTTTGTTTTTCACCACCATATAGAAACGTACTGTAAGACTGAAATGTAAAGCTCCTGTCCTCTAGCAGAAATGAGAAGAAAAAAAACCAACATGTTTTAGCAAACCCTGTGGACCAAACAAGACAGATACACTAACCTTAATGCACACATCAGAATTTTGGGATTTGCTCATATCATACCGACACAGCAGCAGATCAGAACCTACACAAACAGAAACACACCTTGCTGGCTTTCATACATCACAGCTATCTAATATTGCAATATTTAGACTTGCATTATGTAAAGTCTCTCAGAGATCCGAGTGGAGCATAGCTGAATTAGTTAAATACATCACATGGGATATCGTGTCTGACTTTGCAGGGAACAGCTCCTTCCTGGAGCTTCAGCACTCCAATGTCTCCTCGCAATGAGAGCCAAATGCCAGATTAGGAGGTTCATTTCAAGAACGCAGTCCAGATACAGTTCTAAATGCTACTGTCACCCCCCCCCCCAAAAAAAAACCCATAATAATCTTATTATAACATTTTACAGAAATGTATTCATTGTGATAACTTCAAAGTAATAACACGCAAGTGACATCTTATTTAAAAGTACTGTTTATGTTTATACAGTGTTCAAAAAGTTTTTATTTAATGCAACAATTCAGTTGAACCTGCTGAATGAAACAATCCGAGATCAAGTCAAATATAGAAAATACTATAAAATTGATCTTTTTTTCACTTTTTGGATTAATTTTGAAGATTCAGTAGATTTCTTGTCACTTGACATATTATTTGCCTTTATTTATTAAGCATGCCTAGCTCTTGCAATTTAAGTTTTGATTTATCTAGACTCAGACCCAGATATTCCATGTCTGGACCAGTATCCAAGCCATAGATTTTTCTGTACTACTGCTTTGTAGGAGCAGGTTAATTTTTTCAGAATTCTGTGGAGTTCTCTCCAAAGACAAGCTGGGGAAAAAAAAAAAAAATCCCAAAAGGGCAGAAAAACATTTTAAAAAGTCAAAGTAAAGTTTCTCCAGGATAATAGCAGAAGCTGATCTGCAGTATATAGAAAGAAAAACTTTTTAGAAGAGTTACGAAGGAAGGAAAGAGAAATACTATAGGTCCCATGTTATCTGCATTTTTTTTACAGTAGATCAGTAAGAAAAGACACAACACTACTAACTCTGATCCCTAGTCTAGATTGTACCCTTTGTTCTCATTCTCTGCTCTCATAGACAAGATTTACTTCTCCTGTTGCAAAAATAGTACCAGTCCATAAACTTAACCTTAGAAAAACAGAAGTCCTTTGGGATTAGTTCAGCAGAATCCAAGTCCCTTCTTCACTTAGTGTTGGGATATTCTGTTTATTTAAAAGGTCAGACTCATAGCTCCTACTAGGGGTTAGAACCAGGCCCTAGATGTACAAAGCAATCTTCTTCAAGGATTGAATTAGACAATGGGTAATTACAGAGTCTTTTAAGCCATTATTTAACCCAATAATTCTGATTGTTTAAATAGAACTTGGCTGAGAAGATAGACTCAAATGCACCAAGAGTACACAACCACCTCATTTTACATTATTTTAAAATTACATCCTGTGACAAGCACCTACCAAGACAAAATTATTATATTCTGAGATGTTTTGATGAGATTAAGAATGCTAAGAATGAAAACCCGATTTTTTAAATCTTGAGATTCTAATCAAACAGCCCCTCCACAGATGCCACTGCAAAAAATTTAAATTTTTTTTTAATCACACACATGCCTGTCTTGATATTTCCAAAGTCCCAACAACTGACCCGTCTGGATTCCCCCTAGGAACTTTTTATCCGTATTACATCTTCTTTGTAATCAACACTGAGAAATGTCACTTTGATTAAACACAATTCTGAATGGCTAAGACCAGAGTACAATAAATTCTCCAGAGCTATCTTTCAGACCAACTGATTGCTCTCCAGTCTTAATCCCCTGGAGTCTTATTTAATCAGAACGATGTTGCTAATTAAGGATTAAAACTCAGAATAGAGTAAAAAGGAAGGAGGGTTTTTTTTCCTCTGCTATGGGCAGGTCAAGGAGGCAGAATCTGCTCTAAAGAACTAAACAGTCTCATCCACCTTTGCTAAAGCTGCCTTATTCACTGAAGTTTGGATTTAATTCATGTTGCTTTGATATTAACATAATTGGAGGAAAAAAGAATAGCCAGGAAATCCATTTCCAAAGCAAGAGAGAGCTGATTCACCAAGATCTTAAACTGATTCTTCAGCTTTGCATTGTCAATATGCAAATATGCTCAGTTTTGATTTTAATAACTGTGCATGTACAGCGAAAGAAGAGAAAAGAGGGCAGGTAAGGACTTATTTCACTTTGCCTCAGAGCAGGAATCTGAAGGCTCCGACTGCAATTTCTTTGATCCTTAGTCCACAGTTTAACCAGAAGGTATAGGTGAATGTATGTAGTACTCGGTATGGTGCTACACAAATGGTAAATAAAGGCAAACATGTAATAAAAAATGATGACCTCTCTGACACACTAAGCTATAAATAGTTAATACGAAAAAAATTGAATTTTAAGAACAGTTTTAGGAGCAATTTCTCCTCAAAGTTTTCTTAAACACTTTTAAATACTCAGACAAATACACACATCAAGTGGTTTATATGATGCTAAAACTTCAGAGCTGAAACAATACACCAGATGCCTGCCACTTAGCTTAGCAATTACAGACTACTAGCAACCCCTAGTTCCAGCAAACCAGCAGACTCTGCTGCTTACAGTCATTGCTAAAAACTTACTGTGATGTAAATGCTAGTATTTCATTGAAGTTACATAGGGGGTAACAGCAAAATACCCTAAAACGATAGCCATGTTAAACATAGAAAACAAAATGGAATATGTTGTTCTAACAGCAACTACATTGTCACGTCTTTGCCCATTTGGGCAAACCAGTTCATCCTATTTCTGACTAAAAATTTCTGTAGGAGGCCGAAATAGACGATCACCTACTGGTCCTAGGAAAAAGAAAAATTTAGGAAAAGTTTCTACAGGAACTCTTCCAAAATTTAAATGTTTTGCAGTTAAAAACAAAACGTGAAACCCACCATCTGTAGAATGTGCCTTGTAAGACAGCAGCAAACGTCAAGGAAATGCTCTATTATCCCCAACAGATATTTAGCTGACATTAAGTTACCAACCAGTTGAAAAAAGAAAGAAGTTCCTTCGGTCCACAGTCCTCGAGGTTGTATGCACTTAACGGACAAACTATAGCTCTGACGCCTCCTATTCCCAGACTAGCTGTGAGTAGTGCAAAGTAGAATACTATTTTCTGCTCCCTTTTGGTTAGTGTGTGAAGAATATGTCGTCTGTCAATGTAAATATCTTCAAAGGGGAATGCCACAACAGGCAATAGGGCTGTGCCTGGAATTGGAAAGAAAAACATTATTTGAAATTGATTAGAATCAGAATGATGAGTAAGATTTATATGTTTTTTTAAGCAGTTATGTTGAAAAGGCAGGTGAAAAATCAAAGATACACAACAGAGGAGTACAAAGAGGGAGAGTCTTGATTCTGTAGAGAGGCAGAACCTTTCTGGCTGTCACTATATATAGCAAGGCAAGACCACTAAGAGCCTCCAAGAAAGCAATCTTCCTCTGAAATGCTTGTAAGGATTCAAGTTCTTCAATCAACTGAAGAGCTCGCTCTGGAAATGTAGCTCTTCTCACTGGCCTTCCCCATTGCCTGTGCATAGAGGGCAGCAGCTCTCAACTGGCCAGGCGGGCACCAGTTAAAACAAGTAGCTCCACCTCAGGAACCACAGATTAACTAAGACAAAAGCCCATCCCATCGTGGAGTGTAGCCTTTTTTTGCATCTTCTTTAAACCCCAGAAATCTAGTGACAATCCTAATTTAACACACAAATTCTCAAAACTTTTGTGGGAAGATTCCATTTTTCTGCTGCAGCTTCATGGAAAATACATGATTTTCAGAAACTTTACCTATAGAAGCACTGCCATGAATTGCATTTACCACCTCTAGTCTGCAAAGCAACTCTTTCAGACTTAATCAGCTACAGATACTCCAAGTTGTAATTGGAAACAAAACTCAAAAAATACTGATGTGTCAACAACGCCAACATTAGCTATGGCTGAGACTGCGGTTGTGCGTCAAACCCCAATGCGTCAGGAATGTTTAATAATCCATCTTCAAAAAAAAAAAAAATTCTGGTTAAAACAATACCTGACTACAACAAATTCTGCTTATGGCACCAGTCTTCTACTTTAACATACGCATTGAAAAGTCAAGTGGCAGAAGGGGATTCCAAACAACAAGCCCATGGGACAGACAGTGGAACATAATAGCAATCATTTTTCCAGGTTGCTCGCACAATGGTTTTGCAATTAGCTCGAGAATATTTCAGGAATGACTGATTTTTTCCTTACTTTGTTGCATGTCTGAACAACAACGTGGCTGGCTATTGCAGAAATCAGGCTTGCTAATGTTGAACAACTGGTCCAAGTACAAAGTATTTCTACCAGCTTAGTTTAAGTCGACAGAATAATCACCAGCTGTGAGATGCACTAATTGCTACAGAACAGTCATAGTTAGTTTGAACAGTGCTTTTACATAAAAGATCTCCAGAATAACACATGGGGAAGATTCAGAATGTGCTAACAGAAAGTAGGCTCTCAATACAGGTATTAGGATATAACTTCTCTACTTAAGGCAAGGTTTGTTTACGCCAGTATGTGCTTAAATACATCTTTCCCTCTTGTCCAAATACAATAGTCGTATACTTTTACATACAATAAAATCTGACTGCCAACAGCTGGGAAACAGTTTCCGAGCTCTCTCTCTGACTAAAGCCTTGCATTTGCCCCAAACCTTCTATGCTTGTTAAAGGGACCGATTTTAAAAGTCGAGCATCCACGTTCTGAATAGCTAAGGCACCTTAGAGGAGTCAAGTTTATGCACCAACTATCCACAAGATGTACATGCAAACATTCCTTATTTTTGTTCAAAGCACTGTCTCACAACAGCACGTAGGCCAAAGTACTGCAGTGCATTTTGTAGAGGAGGAACTAAGTAACTGGCTGCTAGAGAAGGTGGCCACGAGGCTGAAGGAAATTGTTAGATTTCAAACACAATGCTCAGTAACGCGTTTCTGCAACAGAGTTACTATACTACCAAATAGTCACCAGGGTGTCACCTACCTAGGAAGTGCAGAAACATGCAGACGCAGACAAGCTTGATCCTCCCCACGAGGCATTCGGCAAGCCAACCAGCCAGCACCGGCGTCAGCATGGAGGTGCCCACGAAGCACATATTGACAATGGCTGCCTGGTAGTTGCGATAGCCAAGTTTGACAGTGCAGAAGAGGATCATGTTGCAGACAATGCCAAAGAACGTGAATCTCTCACACAGCTCCACCAGCAGCACACAAATAGCCTCTTGGAGCTTCTTCTCAGACTGAGATAGGTTTCCAGCACGGTTGCTTCTCCCAGGTAACGGTCTTTGCTCCTTAGCAGCAGCGTGGTTCAGAAGTTGCTTCTCTTGCATCTCTCTTCTGTCTGCACCAGGCATGCTTGTCTTTTTTGAGTACAACTGAGTACAGCAACTTAAGTTACAGGTACACTTCTGTTCTCTTCCACTGTAATTAGCAAACTGGTAAGACTCTCGTTTTGAATTCCACACTTCACTACTACAATTTCTTAGGGCACCTGTCACTTTTGTGACATTACATATAGGATCAAAGAGTATATATTAAAAAAAAAAAAACAACAAACAAAAAAACAAAGAGCTCTATCAACATTTCAGCTTCTGAATTTCACAACACTCAGGAACTCAATCTGTTTATTTAATTACCCCATTAAGGGGTGAACAAGATTTTTCTCCAGAATTATATTACCTGTTGAATTATGTGAATCCAATACAGTATGTGCAACTCTATCTATATGTTAAAGATAAAGGTTTAAATACACAGGGAAGCTAACATTTTCATCAGAATACAAATAACAGATCGAGAAAATAATTTGGTTAAAATAATCTTATACTTTAATTAGGCAACAAGTGAAAAAATGCAAGCAGAGATAAAGAGAAGGTGGGTTTTTTTAAGATTAACAATATCTAATAATTATTACATTTCTTGTTATTTTTGGTTGAAATTCAGATAAAGTTAATTATAAAAATAAGTAATGCTACTATATTTAAGTTAGAAAAGCGAGTTTTAACAGAAAATAAGTTGAATGTATTAGCAAAAAAAAAAAGCAATCCAAAAGCAAGCTCAAGCAGAACTGTTTCCCTAGCCAGATACTGTGCCACAGCTACAATGCATCATAAGGGGCAGGGACAAGGCAATGGGCTGTCTCATATCAACCAAAAGCAATCACCAGCTTGAAAATAAATTAGGAAGAGCCAAACTTACAGTACTTTATAATGCTCCTGATGTCTTATCCACAGAGGAGTTTGCAGGTTTCCCAGATCAGTTTCTCCATTTTGTTGAGCTCCTTAATATCGCCAACACCTGTTCAAAGCACTCCCAACCAAGAATAAGAAGCATTCTGCTTTTATTTTTCACAAACACAAATGCATGCACATGTTACAAGGCAGAGGTAAATCAGGCCTGCTTCTCTGAACAGAGCTCTCCATGCCTCAGGTTGCATTTTTTGAGACATAGGCTCTGCTGTTTCCATCTGTCCGTGTAACTACTCAAATTTTGCCTCTTCCAATCTATTTAGTATATGAGAACTCCTACGTCCCAAAACAAATGTACAATAATATATAACCAGTATGGATAAATCTAGATTCCAAGATTACCACCACAAAACAAAAAAATCTCTGAATGTTACTGTCAAGTTTTGGTTTCCTTCCCTAGCTCGTTTCTAAAGCCACTGTGACTTACACACAAAGCCTAGAAGCTCTGAAGCTTAGATTTAAGTAGTAATAGATTGCTTCCTAAAATAATTCTGAAATACATTTCTTCTAATCTAGTATGAGTCTAAAGCAAGAAACCAGACACCAAAGAATTTATAGTTTTCAGAGACATCCAGTTAGGGATGAAAAAAGCTGTGACTTGTAGCATGCCAAAAACTACTTCTGATCTATCATAATTTGGACAAAATAACCAGAGAAATCCAAATTAGAAATGACTTGTAACTCAGCTTAGCTTCTCCATCACAGCCTAATGAAGCCACTCTCAAATCGAAACAGGAGACACAATAGTATTTTGACTAAAAGGCCTATATATCTCCTATTGCATGAAGATACTGTTATCTAACTGTTCATAAAGAGGGCTTTTTTTTTTTAAGGAAATATGACCTTATTTTACAACCAGATAGAAAACATCAGGGTAAATACATTCTAGCTCCCATAGATCTTTCAACATAAAATAGTCCCTTTACTTAAACTTTTTTTCTTTAAATAGAGCAAAGTTTACCTGTTCCCATGGGTGCTAGCAATTCAAAGTGAATCATATCATGGGAACTAGCTGGGATGGCTGTATCTTAGTCCTCATGTGGTTTCATTTACCCTAATTTTGGGTTACAAGCTAGGAAAAAGAAATGACTGGCTGAGCCTTCTAAATACCACAGAAAGCAGGAGGTGGGTGATTATCATTGTTGCTTTTGAATTGCCTTTGCATGCGACTAATCTGGGTGTGGTGGTTATGCCAGCTACAGATCACAATCAGTAAATGAGTTAACACGCTCAATGCCATGAGAATATACAACTTCATGCCACAATATGACCTTTATTTTCTTTTTTTTTTTTTAATCAATTCTGCAGCAATTATAGGTGGTCTATCTAATTCTTTGATGTGGTTTTAGTTGAATTCTAGTTGAATCACCTGGCATTTACTTGGCTTATTCTTCACACACAAGGTAGTAGGACTGCATAAAGCCAGATAAAAAACTCTATTATTTGTATTAACACATGTAAAGCTGTATATACACTGAAGCAGCTAGAAATAGCTGCACCAAATAACTGTTATTTCAAAATCCAGCCCTTCTTCTGGCAGTACCTCTATCTGCCAGTAAGGACTTTGTATTTTTTTTAAACAAATCTTCTTTAAAGGACAGTCAGATCCTGCAGAAAGGTTCATAAAAATACTTGCTCTCAAATGACAATGTCAGCTCACTAGAGGTCTGGCCATTAATAAAAGAGTTGCTATTTGATAGCCTATCAACCAAGGCAAAAGGTTACTTCTGCTCGTACTGGAACCTACAAATTAGCATTAGGCAATGAATTAAGCTGGATAGGTTGTAACTGAAATTTTCTCTTAATTTTCTCTGACAAGTGACAGTTGCTGTCAGTGTTATTATATTTATACATATATTATGTTTATTGAAATTGAAGAGGCAGACCTTCAGTGTCCAGCACAACAGTTCTTCTGGCTAAAAGGCAGTAGTGGCTCTAGACCTCTGTTTATGTTCTAGAAGGGTCAGCCTCTAATGTTTCAGCAAATTTAAATCATCTTTACTCTTACTCTTTTACAGAACATGTGAGAGGTGTTACCCTTCATCATAGCAGCAGCTGTGGTTCCTGCTAAATATCTGGGGGGGGGAAAGCATAATTGTTATGGACAGATTGACAGTGCAACACAACAATTTTGAAGCTGTAAATAAAAAAATACATGGGTCAAATCTTTCTAGTTAGCACCAGGATTCCCATTAACTTCCACGGGTTGAGAAGTTGGCTCAGTGACCACTGACCTGAGGACTGCAGCTTCAAAGACATTCGAAAGGCAGAGCAAAAGCTCTGGGGGAAAGCATTGCCAAAGAGGGGCAAACATGCCTACGGTCTGCTGCCTGATGGTGTGTATAAACACAGGTCCAAGGTGGTAGGCTGAGCAGGCAGCCACAGTAAAGAAACACAGCTCAAAGCCGGATGGCAGGCAGGGAGAAAGTAGGAAGACGCTGCCAGTCAAGTTTGGAGGAATGCTTCCGGCACCGACTGTCTTGCTACAGCTCCAAGTGACTAACTTCTTAGAAAAGTTACAAGGTTAGTGACAGTAAACAGAGATGTGGTAAAAGCACAGACTAAGACTAGGCTTTATGCTTTTCAAAATCACCACTTTGATTTACTTCTCTTATGCATATGAGCAATGCTGAATTTAACACGTAACAGCAGTTACCAGCCTAAGTTTGACCCCTGCGGGACGCCCTTCAGCAAGGGCAGCCAGCATCGCTCTCTGCAGGTACTGCTCATGCATGCTTTCGTCTAGGGCAATGCGTGGCCTCAGAGAAAGAGTCAGACACTCTGGTATTAGGTATATCCTTCTCTTTTTAACTTCCCTGCAGTTACATCTATAGTAGGGGAAAAATCAACAAAAGCAAATTACCAGTCTTTTGAGGCACAAAACAGAAGTACTAGAAGCTGTGGTTTTGTACAGCTTGGAGATAACCTGCCACTTGTGAATGTGCTTCACAGGACTTCCAAGTAGCTGAGGACTGTTTAATTGTAGCAGGGATAAAACAAATGTTCATATTAAAAAAAATAGATTTCACTTCTAGTATGAACTTTGTCTTTTTCTGTCAACATTTTTTGCTCCTTTTTGTCCCCTTTTTCTCATCTTGAAGTGTCACTTTGGACAATGTCTTATTTCCTATGTCCTATATCCTATTTCACACTTCTTCTATTTAAAATGTTACCTCAGACAACCATTTTCGCTATTTCAGCACTGCCTGTCCCTGCAGTCTCAGAGTACTCTGGCTGCTGTGCAGATAGCCCTGAATCAGAACTGAGACAGAATGTAACAGTGCTGCTTTTGGAGGTCACAGCGTTTGAAACCTGTCTCTGCTGCTTCTGAAGAACTTCATCAGCGTCAGTAAAAATGCTGCCTAATATTTCTCAGACCACATACCCAAAGAACAAATACTCACAAAACTCAAGTGCTCTGTAAACCATGTAAAAGGTCAATGAAGAAACTGAAATGTAGTAACTGGGAGATTGAGAAAGCTTGTATGTGAAATCTGTTCGACTAGCAAATCCACTCCAATAAAACTGTTTTATATTTTGTAAATATCTATTACATATTATAAAAGTACACTTTGAAGGCTGAAAAATAGCATCTATGAAACAATGAGTTCTTAAAATTACTGATTATATGAGAAATTTTCTGGGAAGTTCTGGGACTATGATATCACATGCTGTTTGAATAATTTTGTCCTCCCTTTGGTAAGTATTCTTGCAAAACCTTCCACACTTTAGCTGGATGTAACCGGGAACCTTAGCCCAGTTCTGCCTTGCTGCAGGACAGATGTAACGCCTGTTTTGTTCCATGGCAACTTTTGTTGTGAAAGTGCAAGACCAGGGCGAGACTTCTAATTCAGCAAAAAGCTGTATTTTAAGAAGTACATTTGTTTATTTTTCCTTGTGTAATCATAATTAAAAACAATGTCGGAAGGTCATTTTCATCTTCATTCTGCCAAAAGGTAACATACCAAGAAAAAAAATCAAATCCTTCTCTCAAGAATGCCCAAGAGGTCCCGGTGGAGAGTGCAGGCAGGACCTCTTCTGCAAAAAGCTTTCTTTTTTCTGCTTGTCCTGTGAAAGACTGCTGTAGCCATTTCTCCCTGAGTCCTACT